GGCAATACCTTTTTACGGCAACATTAACATCTAACCTATCGTTCATGCACAACTCCTTTTAGTCGAATGAAATCCTTACCTTATCTCTAAGGTGGATTAGACCTAGTTACTATCTAGAACCCCTTGCTTATGTGGTTCCTCCCTAGTTTCTCTCAAACACTAAGTATGTACTACCTAGACATTCTCTCGAACACTAAGTAATCTCCTAAGGAACGACTACTCTCGTAGCTCCTACAACCTTAAGGCACTAAGCTTAATAAAAAAAAATAGAATATAACATAGAAAAATAATCATTCATTAAATCAAAACTTAAATATCCAAAATAAACTCCCACCAAATAGGATTAGTTCATGATGGGGTTCGAAATAAGCAAGCACAAAGCAAGTTAATCTGTTCTTTACAACCCAAAAGATAAAATATGAAAGCAAGAGCAAAATGGAAGGAGGTAAAGCCTTCGACGTGCACTGTCGGAGCTTCCCTCAGCCACCACGAACAGTCCCAGCGAACTAGATCCTCTCGGATGCCTAGAACGCCACTCCCTCTAACTTGTCAACGGAAGAATGCCACGACAAATAAGATTGACGAAGAAATCTTTCTTCGAAATTTTAGGCTCTTGGCAGCTATCAAAAAGTTAAAAAAAAAATTCATTGTGGCTTCATCTCCTATTTTATAGGGGAGAATGAACCTATGGTTTTATGTTAAAATTACCCTAGTACCCTAAAGTTCATTCCTTTTATGTGAGAGTCGTACTAGAGATGGTAATTGGCCCCTCCTATGTGGCTGATTGCAAAAATTATGTAGAGACTATGATAGTTGTCTCTTACTCAAAATATCTTCTTTCTCTTTGTTCATTCTCGAAATGCCATCTGGTTAAACATTTTCATTCTGCTCAGCAGTCTCCTTATGTCACAGTATTTCCCTTTTGCTTTTTCTTACTCCCAAATCCTGCACATCATCAAACAAAACACATTCCTTATAAAACATCACTGATTACAAAATAAAATGCCGCTGCAAATAGAATTCTACCACATGCAACTATATGCTCCTAAATACATCTATATGATCCTAAATGGGCTCTTAGACAATCAATAACTTAAGTGAAAAGGTCCAAAAAATGACCTTTTTACAGAGTTATCAATCATATAGATCATTTGTACTATCTCACATGACTTATCACACTAACATATACTTATACAAATCATATAACATACATAATAACATGTTAACACATATACTCATGCACACATTTAAATCATAACAAACACATACTTCTATTTATGAATTCATGCATTTTACTATTGGAGATAGACTTATCACAAGTCTTATTTCCCATTAAACATCATATACTAAATAATGTGCACTCACCTAGCCTCACTAGTTAACATCGATCTCTTATATTTCTCTCTATCGATCTTACTTGCCAAATGTTTCGAAACTTGTTTAGGCTTAGTATCTACATAAATATAATTTCCAAGACGATTATCAGAAGCCTAAACATTAGAATTTGATGCTAATAACTTAAGCTAACTTAATAAGAAAAATTCATATTTTCATTTTAGGAGGGTATCGGTACCCAAATTAAACTCGATATTCACAGGTATTGTTACCTGCTGGTGGGTATCGATACCCAAGTATTGGTACTACCCCTCTAGGTATCGATACATCATGAAGATGTTCTTCAAAATTGGTCTTAGGGTATCGGTACCCAATTATAGGGTATCGGTACCCCTTGCCCAGAACAAGCCATTTCACCCGAAAAATCATCAACACTTCACCAAAAATTCCATACTAAAGCCCCTTTCATACCACCAAACTCAACAATAACCATTTTAACTATCCTTTAACTTCTTAACACCTTAAAAACTTGAACATCTCATTCCAATTCTTGAAACTAAGAAATTTACTAAGTTTTCCATATAATCCAAACTTAGTTCTAAGACTTATAACTTCTTATTCACACCTATTACAAGTCAAATTCAACTTCCCAATTCATTTAAACCTTCTTATTCAAAATTTCACTTAAAAAATTCTTTTACTTAATCTCTCTAACATATCCATCTTTGAGTTTTTACTTATCTTTAGACTTCCTTAAGTTTCTTACTATCCAAAGAATCAAAACCCATCATAAAATTAAGGAATAATCAACTCATATGAAACTCGCCTTGCAACTGAGCTCACGGGAAGAAGAAGAAACAAATTGAACCATTTTTCCAGAGTTTTCTTTCTTTTCCTCCCTTTTCCACGTGTTATATCATATATAAAAGAGAAATAAAAATATTTCTTATGAAATTACCATTATACCCTTCAAGCTTTTCATAATTACCATTTAATACAATACTGAAATATTCCTATTTAAGTCCTTGAACTTTTAACTTGTTTCGAAATCGAGCACATAGTTTTCAAATTTTACTATTTAGTCATTGACCCTGATTTGGGATGTTACAATAAGAGTCATTGTTTGGGAATGTATGTTGCAATTAACTTCTAAAAACTCTTAATAATGGATATGATTGACAATGGTAAAGCTAAACATAAAAAAATAGGATAAACTACTTGTTTAGTATCTAAATTATTGCTTTTGTCTCCTTTTGATACATGAACTTTCATTTTTTTAATATCATACCTAACATTCACTTGTTTCATTTTGGTACATTGCCCTTAAAAACTTAATTGTAGTATTTTATGTGGCACTTTTTTTGGGTAAATTATATAATTAATCATTTAAATATCTTTTCGCTCCTATTTTAGTCAATGAAGTTTAAACATTTTCAATTTAAGTACTCAACTTTCAAATTGCTCATGTTTTAATCACTCTAATTTATTTTATTAATAAATTTTGTGACATGAAATTTTATATTATTATTTTGTTAATATATAATTAAAATAAAAAAATAAATTTGAAGTTAGAGTGACTTAATTAGGAGTAATTTAAAAGTTAAGTAACTAAATTAAAAAACTCTAAACGTCAGTGATCAAAATAAGAGTGAGAAGATATTTGAGTGATGAATATGTAACTTACCCATTAAAAGTGCCACTTACAATAATATCGTTAAATTTTTAATAGCGAGGTACGAAAATAAAATAAATAATAAACATTAGATATGATTTTGAAAAATATAAAAGTTTAAGTGCCCAAACAAGACAAAAGTGATAATTAAGTTAATGTATCCGGAAAAAAATATGATTAAAGAAAATAAAAACAAGACCAAGGTAATTATAAAAAGCATTACCACTTGAATGTGGGGGTACAAGAACGTTCCTCTTAGCAGAAACTATGATAAACCATCAAAATCATAAATATAATGTATTGAAGCTTGTTGACGAGGGAAATATGATCGTGATGGTTTTTGAGGGGTTTTTTTTTTTGAATAAAGAGTTATAAACAATAACTTATGAAAAACGAAAGAGATGAATTGAAAAAGAAGATACATAGAGAAAGAGAAAGAGATTATGTCCCCATTAAACTTTATATGATGACTTATATATAAGTCTATAGTACTATTGCAAGATTAAAGTGATGATGACTATTTGTAGGTTGGTAGAGTAGACAAATCTAACTGTCAGATAGTAGATTTAGTTGATAAATCATGTGGATCTATCAAATACCATGTTAAAAAATTATAACACTCCGAAAAATATGAAATTTCGAAAGTCTTAAAAAAACTTTAGACGCTTCAAAAGTTAACAGGCGAAAGATTAACGATGGAAGTGTGACTTGGAGAGAATATAAAACAAAGTTTAAGATTGTGGGACGAGAAGAATTTACAACTTATTTCTCCCACAAAAATGGTTCGTTCATCTTTCAACGTCATTTTTGTAACATCTCTAGAAGAAGCTAACGATTATTAAGAAATGCTAGAATACAAAGTTTTTGTGTGGGTGTATGCATGTTTAAGATATCGTTTGCATCAGCTTAACTAGAATTAAAACAACGACGTCTAGGTTACTCAACCGACAAGGGTAGCTTTCCATTGATAAAGAAAAGGAAATGGAAAAGCAAGCTCACCTATTTTCATTGAGCATTGTTTCATTGTTAAACCAAACCTAAAACCAGAAAACTTGCCTTTACTTGCTCTTTAATTAATCACTCTTCACAGCAACAAAAGAAAACAAGACACTGCTAAACTTCTACTACACTAACCATCTTTACTTAACAAGTTCATTGAAAAAGTAATCTCAAAATTTTTGAGTTCTTTGCACTAAAAGAGAGAGAGAATTACATCCTATGTTTTGTCCACAAATTGGGCATATCAAAATTTGATCCAACCCTAAAAATGAAAGGAACTCCCCCCCAAGAGAGAAGGGTGTTTTTGGATGCAGGGAAAGTGGTTTTTAAGGGAAATTGGGCAAGTGATGTGAAAGTGAACACTTACTTTGGGTGAAGGCTTGTTTCTAGGAGTGAGTAGTCAGTTGGATTGAATCAAGTCAAAAGATTTAGAATCAATGGTGTTCACAAGTCCTAATTTATATCTCAAATTTTATTTGACTTAAATTGTTTGAGTTTTTGTTTTAATTTAATTTAAATACTTGTAATGTTATAGAACTAATTGATTATAATTTAAACGAGTTTCTATAATCATATACAATATACATGTATATTTCTTTTTATTTTGTTTCATACAGGACATACATATATCATGCAGAGTTAATGATTCGACTCGAACTTGAAAACCAATATACTAATTACTAAAAATTTTAAGTTATTCGAGTCTTATTTTACAACTCAAACTTTATTTAGTTTTTTCGAGTCAAGTAGAGTTTGTGAAATTACAAATTGAGTCAAATCAAATTTAGTTTTTAGCATCAAATCGAATCAGAAAATTTGATTTTTTTTTTTCAAATCGAGTCAGTTTTACTCATCCTAGTTGCTTGTACAGATGCTCTGTGAATGCATGCATACATCCGGACCATGTTTGATTATATTTATTACATATAATTTAAAAGAATAAAGGGCAACATAGATATACCCTGCAAAATGTTTACACGCCTCCGGATTATATAAGACCAATATGTACAGGTTTTATTGCTCATTTTGAGCTATACAACCCTGTCATCTATGGAGTCTTAGCAGAGTAAATTACTCATTCATCCTTGACGCCATTCCATATACTGATTGCATATCAAGTAAAAACTTGACAGTGTAAAAGAAAAAAAAAAAAGAAAATTGAAAGCTTGCGGCCCCTGGATTAGCCATCTATATTCTCACAATTTGCAGTCCAAGAAAAAAAAATGGACTGATAATTATGTGAATGCAGCCAATGAATTGTGCGCCCCTAGTTATTTTTTTGTGGATAACAAAGAACCAATTAAATTCAATTTGCAAGCTTGTCAAGCCATGTATCCATCACCTCTGAAATGCTCTGAATAAATGCAGCTTCACTCATGCCCGGAAGTAACGAATCCCGAGCTTCTCGAACGATCTGCTCGATTGCAGATTCCTTGTTTATGTTTTCCCTGCACATAATGCTTCCGATGGACAATGGAGTGAGACCTCGTTCGACCCCTTTCTTCAAAAGCATGGTGGATATACGGAGTGTTCGAGAACACTCGAGAGGAATGTCCATGCCGTACGATTTCAGAAGTGCAATGTCTTGTTCAGCATCCAGTGATTTTATGTAGGCAGTGGTGTCTGAAGAGTAAGGCTGCTTTGACTGTGGCCAATAGAGCCAATCAAATGTGCAATCCTCAAACTGCATGTAGAGCCGAAAAAGAAATTAGTTTCGGAATCGAAATATTTGTATGTAATGAGAGTGGATCATGAGATCAAAGCAGCATGAACACAAAGAATGATAGTACTTACACACTCAGGCAGGCAGTAGCCGTGATCGATTGGAATCAGAACGGTCCGGTCATCGTCCCCTTTCCCGATCAAGATATTCCCAGCATGCCTATCAGCATTCACCATTCTTATATCGAACACGGTGATCTTGTGCACTTCCTCTACAGGGAATGCTCCGGGTCCCATATCCTCACAACTCCCAGAGTTGTTCATAAACATCTGCAAGGATCCAACCTTAACATTCTCGGGTGCACATTCATATCCATCGGGATGATTGTATCCTTCGTGCAAGCATCGAACCATGCAGGTAGGAGGTACACCAGCAAACCCCAACATCTCGCCGGACAAAGATCGTGGTCCACTCTTGGGATGATCTAGTATATAAGCAGCCACTTCTCTTAAAGCTCCTTCTCCAACTCTGGTACCCTTTTTCAACCCTTCACCATCTGTTGAAACAGGTAACCCCTGTGGATTGTTTACAGCCATTGGCTCCTCATCTATAGGCTTAAAAATGGACACATAATCGAAACCGAACTTGTCTTGCATGAAGTAAGTCCCTCCGCTCCCTTCGGATGACCTGATCGGCCGATTCCCTACCAGCAACCCTTCGAATGTGGCATATATCATATCCCATACAAAGAAAGGCAGTTTCACCTTAGAATTTACAAGAACAGGTTCCAACCAAAAATCCCTATGAAGCACCTCAGGTTTGTCTTGTTCACCTCCTACAATCCCTCCTCTTCGCTCATCTGAATCGAACTCGGTGAAAACCGAAAGTTCCAAATCTTTCTCGACAGGCTTAGCTCGAACTTTGGCTGATTTGTGGACCACCAAATGAATCACAGCATCATTATATTTGCATAGATCATCAACTAACCTCTGGTCATCTACTTTTTCTCCATGACAAAATATTTCTTGTTCATCAACATCCATAAATCCCTTCCCTTTAGTGGCAATCCTTTGTTTCAAATACCCAACATTTCTATTCCGATCAACATGAAGTTCAAATTCCTTACCACAACTTGACTGTACAGTAATGAGCAAAAGATCAGAAAGTTTTAAGACCAAATGCAAAACATTACCACCTTTTATGCCGTAGTCTTTAACGAGCGAATCGTTACGAGCCAATTCTCTGCCTTGGAAAATAAGCTTCTGTTTCTTCACTACAAACCCATTGCACGTCTGGATCCGAAGCTTGACCGAAGTAATGGGATCGGACTCCAGGACTCGCATCGGGATCACCGAACCGGGAATTGAAAGGTAAATCAAGATGGAGTCAACCGCTGCTTGGTTATTGAAATAACAGGAAGCGGGCCGAACCGTTTCTTGACTAACCCGCCTCCAAGCAACATCCGCAACGGACATCTCCACAAATGTTGATTTCCACCCTCTCGAGTGAAGAAAGGAAGAAAGAAAAATGAAAAAGAAAAAAAAAACCTTTTCTCTTTCAATCTCTGCAATGGCAGTCTAGAAAAACTAGGACATAGCTGCTGCAACGGCTGAAATCCAAAATTTTCTGGTCAGGAGAGACCGCGGATTCTTTACCGGTGGAAAAGAACCGAAAGCTAAAGGTTGAAAATGGGAGATTTTTAAAATGAAGAATGGGAACAACAATCAACTGTAGAGGTGGGCGATCCGAAACTACCCGATTAATTTACACTGTTCGTCATCTCTTTTTTACCGATATTTCTGCTCTTTACCTTTCCAAATTTGCGCGATCTTTTTGCCGGTTTTCTTTACCCCGTTGCTAAAAAGGAAAGCGTCGACGATTTGATAGAGAGAGTGCGGGAAGAACGGTAATGTAGCCGTTGGCTTTATATGAAGCTTTGACCCACCGGAGCCGTGTTTAAAAATGTTAAGGCTAAACTACAATTTTAGTACCTTAACTATTATTTTTTTCGTTTTTGTTATCAAACTATTTTTTGTTTTAAAATCATATCTAATGTAACATTTTTTTATTTTGGTCACCTATTGTCATAACGTCTCCCCGGGGGGGCGTTAGACTTAAAAAATTTGTTTTCGGAGAAAGGCGATGAAATATGATTTTGAAAAACGATTTGATTTTGGAGTCGCCACCAACCATTAAGTTAGGTAGGTTGGAAATCTTAAACGAAAAAAAGGGTTGTGTTTTACCAAAGATTCATTTTTTAAGGATTCGAGAGTCAATTAAGTGTGGGGAAGGGTGAGCACCCCAACAACTCCCAAATTTTGGAACCTAAACGATTATATGTTATTTAAATATTGGGAATTACAAACTTGAAAATATATTTATATTACGATCCTACTAATCATTTGAATTTTTTAAAAAAAAGTATGAACAATCTTCGAGAAAATACTTCATTTGTATTTAGGAGACTTTCCCATAGATTCCCCTCACAAAAATGTTATTTCGCAATTTTTGCAAAGATAAAATACCATAAAATAAAATAAAATAAAAGTGAAAAATAATCGAAATAAATAAACGTTGAACGAATAAAAATATCAAATATAAAACAACATTTGTGTGGAAAATCCTCGGAAAGACATCTTCCCTTTAGTTGGGAGAAGTCTTCGTAGATTTCCCTCACAATTAAATTTCTCATTTTTCTAATATTAAAACAATGATGATTGGAAACATGCGGAATAAAAACATTCACAATAAATGCAGATAAGCATATTTAATTACATATGATACAAATGAATACATAACATAAAAATATATACATACGAATTGAAATAAATACAAACAAATTTTGCAACCCAAAATATAATGGTCAAAAAGTAAATATTTAAAATTACAAGGACCAAAATGAGAAAAATAGCAACTTAAAGGACCAAAATAGCAAAAACCGAAACTTAAAGGACTAAAATGGCACAAACAGAAATTAAAAGGGATAAAACAGTAAAAACAGAAACTTAAGGGTCAAAATAGAAAAACAGAAAGTTACAGGACTAAAATAACAAAAAAAGAAAGTTAAAAGACTAAACTGGTATTAACAGAAACTAAAAGGACTAAAACATAATTACAAATAAATTGTTTGTCATCTCTTTTTACCGATATTTCTGCTCTTCACCTTTCCAAATTTGTGCGATCTTTTTACCGGTTTCTTTACCCCGTTGCTAAAAAGGAAAGCATCGACGATTTGATAAAGAGAGTGCGGGAAGAACGGTAATGTAGCCGTTGGCTTTATATGAAGCTTTGACCCTCCAGAGCCGTGTTTAAAAATTTTAAGGCTAAACTACAATTTTAGTACCTTAACTATTATTTTTTTCGTTTTCATCATCAAACTATTTTTTGTTTTAAAATCATATCTAATGTTACATTTTTGTTTTATTTTGGTCACCTATTGTCATAACATCTCCCCGGGGACCCGTTAGACTTAAAAAATTTGTTTTCGGAGAAAGGCGATGAAATATGATTTTGAAAAACGATTTGATTTTGAAGTCGCCACCAACCATTAAGTTAGGTAGGTTGGAAACCTTAAACGAAAAAAAGGGTCTGCGTTTTACCAAAGATTCATTTTTTAAAGATTCGAGATTCAATTACGTGTGGGGAAGGGTGAGCACCCCCACAACTCCAAAATTTTGGAACCTAAACGATTATATGTTATTTAAATATTGGGAATTACAAACTTGAAAATATATTTATATTACGATCCTACTATTCATTTGAATTTAAAAAAAAATATGAACAATCTTCGGGAAAACACTTCCTTTGTATTTAGGAGACTTTCCCATAGATTCCCCTCACAAAAACATTATTTCACAATTTTTGCAAAGATAAAATACCATAATATAAAAAAATAAAAGTGAAAAATAATCGAATAAATAAACGTGGAACGAATAAAAATATCAAATATAAAACAACATTTGTGTGGAAAATCCTCGGAAAGACATCTTCCCTTTAGTTGGGAGAAGTCTTCGTAGATTTCCCTCACAATTAAATTTCTCATTTTTCTAATATTAAAACAATGATGATTGGAAACATGCGAAATAAAAACATTTACAATAAATGAAGATAAGCATATTTAATTACATATGATACAAATGAATACATAACATAAAAATATATACATACGGATTGAAATAAATACAAACAAATATTACAACCCAAAATATAATGGTCAAAAAGTAAATATTTAAAATTACAAGGACCAAAATGAGAAAAATAGCAACTTAAAGGGCTAAAATAGCAAAAACCAAAACTTAAAGGACTAAAATGGAACAAATAGAAACTAAAAGGGATAAAAAGTAAAAATAGAAACTTAAGGGTCAAAATAGAAAAATAGAAAGTTACAGGACTAAAATAACAAAAAAAGAAAGTTAAGAGACTAAACTGGTATTAACAGAAACTAAAAGGACTAAAACAGTAATTACAAATAAACCATAGCACAAATCGCAAATATTAAATAATATAGGCACCAGAAATATAAATAACCCGTAAATAATATACATGACTAAATTGCATTAAAACAAAAACATGAAGGCTGAATAATAATTAAACCAAAAGTAAAACGATAACCAAAATGGAAGTTTCATAAACAACAAGAACAATGTCTATCATTTACAAAATATATATAATGATAGTCAAGTGACTAAAATACAACTTTCACAAATGAAGGGAATAAAATCTAAAAAAAACAAATTACAACTGAGGACTAAAAACAAAGATTGTAAAATTCGAAGCCCCATAGCCTGGTTTACCCATTTTTGTAAAACACAGAAAAGGGGGTCAAAATGCGTCGTTTTGATCCCAGTATTTAACCCTCTCAAATGGCTTTCAATCTCTCATATTCCTCATTTCTCTTCCTTCACATATAAACAAAGAGAGAGAGTGTCTGTGACTCTCTCAACCCTCCCCTCGGGAGAAGAAAGGCCATGGCGGCCGGAGAGGCACACGACGGTGCATATGGTGGGGTTGAAGGCCGGAGAAAAACAACAGACCCCAAATGAAACCTCTCCTTATCCTCAAACCAAAACTCGAACCCTTTTAACCTAAAAATCACCTTAGCCTTGTAGATATAGGGATTACCTTTCAAAAAACGAAGCCTCTGACGACCACCCCGACTTCCCTCCAACGAACTTGACACTTAGTAAGTTTTCTCTCCCCTTTCTCTCTATTTTCTTCGTTTTTTTTTCTTTTGGTTGTGGTTCGAATCTCGTATTTTTTCTCAGATTTCTTCTCTCGTTCTTCTTTTGTTTTCTTTGTTTTTATTCGAATGGTTTCAATCTTTCTGGTTTTTCTTCACTCTCACCGACTATCTTGTCTCTCTATCATCTTTCTCTTTTATCTCCCTTTACATGTGATTAATAACTTTTTGTTTGATAGACTTGTGATGATTCTACTGCCACCGATGAGATAGCTTAATGACAGAGGCTAGATTGCCTCGGGATATCATTTGCTTGCTTATTATTTTTTCCCTCTGATTTCCACTGTTGATGAATTGAAGGGTGGCTTTCGGTCACTGTAGGTGATACCATTGAGCGGGAAACCTTCGATGGCGGCTCGAGGATCAACGACGGTGGCTCACGCGGCTCGAAAGTAGGGCGGTGACGCGTACGCGCTCGCTGAAACGTTAAAGGCAGTGGTGGTTGGCTTCGACTGATGGCATTTAGGGTTTTAAAACCCTAATTTGCACTGGTCCAGTTCGAGTCAACCGGATCTCGGGTTGCTGAACTGGGTTTGGATCCTGGTCCCCTAGTTTGGGCTTAGTGCTGGATTGTTGGGTGTTGTAGTTGGGCTTGAGGGGGTTAGTATGGTAATGGTCATGTAATGATCTTAGGTTCCAGATTGGGCTACACAAAAAAATGTAATATGTAAATAAGAAAATAATAATATTAATAATATAAATAAAAAAAATAAAAAAGACCCGGACAAAAACGGGTGTCTACACCTATCATTTAAAAAATTATCGTTGATGTTTAGGGATAGGCGTGGGACTCGAGCCCGATGGGTTCTAATTGGGTTGGCTTTTTAAAAAAAAATCAGGTTCGGGTCGGATTCAGGTTTAGGGTGAAAAATACCCGACCCGAAAAAATATAATTTTACTTATATATTTAGGAATAATTACAATAATACCCTTATATATATTATTTTTTCAATTAAATCACTGTTTTTATTGAATACAAATAAATCTTTTATTATTTCGGGTTGGGTAAAGTCGGGTTCGGATCGGATGAAAGGTATATATTTTTCGGGTCGGGTGAAGGATGTAAAATTTTCAGGTCGGGTCGGGTTGGCCGAAACCTTACCCAAACCCGACCCATGCCAATGGTGACATGTCACCGTAAGATAATCCATCTTCATCATTAAATTTTTTTAAAAATATCATGTTATCAATTTTTTATATTTTTTAACAATGGTCGACTAAAATGAAACTAAAATAGAGCGTTACTTATAATTTAAAAAAAGAGTTAAATTATCAAAACATAATAAAAATAATAATTAGAGTACTAAAAATGTAATTTATCCAAAATTTATATGGGTAAATTATAAAAAAAATTGCTTTCTTTTGGAGGAAGAGAAATTTTCCTAAAATCAGTTGCTCAAGCCCTTCCCACTTATGTTGTGTCTTGCTATCTCCTTCCAATGGTATCATTGATGATATCATAAGACAGATCAGATCCTTCTAGTGGTCGGGAAGACATGAGAAAAGGGGATGGTCAATGGTAGCTTGGGATAAAGTCTGCAGATCCAAAAGGCTGGAAGGAATGGGATTCAAAGATCTTAATCCATTCAATTTGACCCTTCTTGGAAATCAAATTTGGAGACTCCTTCAGGATCAGAATTCTCTGGTCTTCCAAGTTTGTAAAGCAAAATACTTTCCTAATTCGGATTTCTTCAATGCAAGAATCGAGGATAGAGATTCCTATGCGTGGACAAGTATTTTAAAGCTAAAGAGGCGCTGAAAGAAGGATTCTTACGGAGAATTAGTATGAAAGGCCAATCGAGAATGTTTCTTGACAATTGGGGAGATTCGTCCCCAATCTCCTGGACAAGTAATTATAGAGATAACATTAATTCCCCCTTCAAATGCGCTTACTTCATGATCCCAAACACTACTAAATGGGATTCAAACATGGTCAACCAAATTCTGATGCCGGATGATGCTATGAAAGTCCTTTCAACTCTCATCGCCCCAATTTACGAAGATAAAATGATATGGAGCCACCATAGCTTGGGATGTTATTCGGCTAAATCAGGATATAACTGGCTGCTACCGAGGAAAGACACTTCGATTGAACAAGGGGAAATTTGGAAAAGGTTAAGCAAGCTCCCCACTTTACCGAAAATTAAGATTTTCGCTTGGAGAATATGTCATGATGCACTTCTTATAGGAGATAAGTTGAAACAAGCACAACTTGATGAAGGAATCTGTCCTATGTGCTCCGAAGAGATTGGAAGTTTGCTGCATGCGCTTAAGGATTGTAACAAAACTAATTCAGTTTTTGCAAATCTCTGGACTTGACGAGGCATCTTAAACTGGCAAGGAAGCTCCTGCAAAGAATGGTTCGAATGGGTGATCACCAGGCTTGACATAGAGGGTTTCTCCAAACTGATTACTTTGCTATGGAATGTGTGGAATAGGAGAAACAAATGGGTCCATGATAATGAAATGCAAGACAGTTTTGATGTTGTCATATCAGCTTGGAGCCTATGTGCTTAATTAACCATGGCAAACTTCGATGGAAGACCTATTCCCCCTCCCAATAGGCAGCAAAAAAGACATACTTGGGAAAGACCCATCACAAATACGATAAAAAATAATGTGGATGGGACGTGTAAGCAAATGGAAAAAGTATCAGCTATTGGGATCGTGGTCAGAGACCATAATGGCTTGGTTTTAGGTGGAATGTGCAAACCAATAGAGCAAACTTTCACAGCAGAATCAGCAGAGGCAGATGCGTTCACACAAGGGATCAAATTTGCCGTAGAGAATGGATGGACAAATGCCACTATTAAAGGGGATGCGATTACAATCGTGAGCAGGCTTGTCAATCATAAAGAAGACGTTTCAACCATTGGATTGATTCTCAACGAAGCCGTATGATGCTGAATGAGAACAAAGATCTCTAAGTGTTTTACGTCAATCGCAATGCTAATCGGGTAGCTCATACGCTTGTTCATTGGGCTTTATCGAGTCCCAATCCGGTCTGGTTATATTTTGATGAATGTGAATGTATTAAGGATGCGATAGTTAAAAAATTTGGTATAATCGTACATTTGGTTCTTATTACCTATATATTCTATCAATTTGCTCTTAATTTTAACTTAGTTAAAAAAAATTAACTCTCCAATCAGATAAAGATATGTTTCATCATTTGATTAGGTAGAAAACAAATTGGAGCAAGATTGAAGCCGGGGAGATTCGATCCTGGGAACAAACACAAAGGGAAGAAATGAATGTGACTATCAGTCTTCTCTCATTTTCTATTTGTTTTGGTTAACTTATCTGCATGCTGCCATCTATTATATATGTATGCAAACTAAGCTTGTAGTCACCAAGTTCCCCTAAATGCATGCTCAATCCCTGGTCTATGGTGTGTTTCAAGGGTCCATGGATATGATTCGGAACCATCATTTTTACGGTAAGATCATCTTAATATATGTAATATTTGCATCTTATTTTAAGACCCTGGTACTTGCAGGACCTGTAACTCTAGTGGTGGCATTAAGGATTTAGTGCTACAGTGAATGCTCGCTGCAGTATACGGGAAGATGATGGTCGAATCATGTGTATGTCGCCGGAAATGTCGCTCCAAGTTCCAACCATATTTGGTGGGATCAGTTCCATCCAACTGATGCAGTAAATGCCATGCAGAAATGTGCTATCCCATGAACATGGAAAACATAACATTTCACAGTCTAAATGTAAAATACAACCAGAAATCAGTAGATCAGCCTCAAAAAGAAACGAGGACAAAAGAAATTGCAGAGATGTACAGGTTCTAAATGCATGACAAAACAGGGGTATGTATAAGTTGCAGACAAAACTAAGGATTATACTACTCTCTTTTGATTCTTTCAGAGGACTCTTTGAATGTAACAATAAACACAATCTAGTTCTCCAAACTAGTAGTTTTTTTCTTGTTTCATTCTCCTCCAATTTCTAGCATGTTGAATAGAAAACTCGAGCAAGCACACCGTCTTCATCGGTTACTCCAGATCCGTTACATCAGTGTTCAGTATGAAACTGGGAAATGCAATAGTCAATTCCCTAAAAAATAATATCCAAATACAAAATCAGTAATTCAAATGACATGTTTAGCTCAAGAACATTAGTAACCTACTTCAAATATGGAAGAGTCATGTTCTTTAAGATAGATGGATTTTTCGTCACGAACTCCTTCCATTCTTCTTCATCGATCTTCCCATCGCCTTTTAAATCTGCTTCCGTCATTGTCTGGACCAATACGAGTAATATCAATATCGAGAAAGGAAACTGAGATGTGCAATAAATAAAAGAGTTGCAATGTTCGACACCTTATCCACTATCGATTCCACCGCATCAATGGAAAGTGACAGATCTGATTCACTAAGCAGAGCCGATACCATCTCTTTCAACTTCCGGTTAGGTCAAGCCAAGCGAATAGCATGCCATTGACGTTATCATCTAATTATTCTTAAGCAAACAATAACTGTAAGTTCAAAGTTACAAGTACTTACATCATCACGCTCAATGAAGCCAGTTTGTTGTAAGTCATACAATCTAAACAAGTCTGGAAGAAAATATATTTACTTATTAACATGAAAGCGAAAACCAAGCAAGGATTAAAGGAAGATACAGATGACATTTGATCTTACATAATACATTACATACATGCAATTTTATCAGCTTCTGGAGCTCTGGGGTGGAAGACGCTTAAAGAGCGAACAAACTCTCCGAACTCGATAACGCCATTACGTTTAATGTCGAACAAATCAAATAACTGCAACAAAATCAATTCACCTTGAAGAAATTTCTGTTAATTAACAAGTATAAGATGGTATAGCAGAACAGATTTGAATGGAACAACGCTCACTCTATCTAGAAAGAAATTCTGCTTATTGCTGTTATTGAAAAATGCAAGCTGAAATTCTTCCTGTTCAGAAAACATCTAAAGAATTACAACTTCTTGAACAGATCACATATCTGAACCAAAATGGAATGGGTATACCTTGTGAATCAGACCATCATCCGAGCTACTTAACTTCTTGAACAGATCATGTAGAGCTTCTACTTCATTCACAGTAACTGTTAAATTATAAGAAATTCTCTACACTTAGGCAAGTACTAGGTACAGATTGCATAAAGTAAATTTGCAGGAATATGTTCTTTTAAGCTCTTGCGTGAAGAGGTTATGCCACCAGGGATGGACCGAGGGGGGCTGGCCAGGGGATTTAGTCCCCTGAAAACATCAAATTCTGGTATAATTTAGATTTTTTCTTTGTATTGATAATCTGTTTTCGAACCCTAACATTTTATAAACTCGCCTCCCTAGTATAAAATTATGTATCCATCCTTGTACGCTACCAAAAATAGCAAAATGATGTCAAAATAAACATTGGAAGCATAGCATGTACGCCTCCAGTGTAGTAACTTACAATGTGTTTCAGCAGCAAGAATGGGAGGCTCTTCAAACCCAGGTTTGGGTTTCTTCAAGGAAAAACAATTCCTGAAAGCACGCATGTTACTCCAACAGGTGATGAATTTCTTGCAAATAATGCAGTCCAACGAGCTCTGCCAATCCAAGTTCCAATCTGAATTTTGACAACCCAGCAAGTAAAAATGTATGGGATATTTATGCGCAGAAGTTGTAAAGAAACAGCCATAGAACCAAATCATTTGCCCAAAATCTAAATACCCAAAAGAAATAAAGATCCAGAATGATGCTTGAGGGTCAACCCATCTAACTTTACAGAGAGAAAAACACCCACATGCAATATAAGCTAAAACATCAAACTAAACTTGATCACAACGAGAAAAAAACAAGAGATTATGAGATAAAGGTGGGATTTTGGTGCACGAATTACCGTTTTGTGATGCGCTTTTGTTTAGCCAAGCTTTGTACTCCGTTTGGCTTTCTTGTTTTGCTATTAATATTTTATAAAGTCTGATCGTCTTCTTTGCTGCTCTCGAACAAAAAATTTCAAAGTCTTCGCTTTCCATTATTTTAATACACAAAAGCGTGGATATGAACGTCGTGAAGGAGCATCTATTGTTGTACGGTTTCATACAGTTTGGTTTTGTACCCTTCGTTCAGTTGACATCCATGCCTCCATTATTAGTTTTTAATCATTTTTAATATCAAACTTAACCTTTCTACCTGCAATGATGAAGCAGCTTGTGAAAGTCAATGTTCCTTGTTAATGATTGTTATTACAAGTGTTGGTTACAATGTGATTTTAAGTTTGGTTAATAGATGCAGTAAGTTAGGTTCATTTATGAAAACAATATTTATTTTAAATATAATTACGAAAATAATACTCAAATAATTTATAGATATATACACCAACAATCATTTAGTCCAGTGGGTAGTGGGACGAGACATTAGATCTTTAAGTAAGTTCATGGGTTTAAATCCTGACAATTTCGAATAGAGTAAATTGGGTTGAGAGAGTTGCTTCTGCTCTGAGTACTCGATTCAGATTAGTCGATCAATAGATCGGATACTCGAAACATAATTATTGATGCTCAACGATACTCATTAGTGGTACTTAACTATACTCGTTAAACGTGACAGATTCATCTCATAATTATTTAAACTCAAAATTTTTTATTCTCTTTAATAATTCAATTAACTATGTAAAAATACATTTTTCAACACTGAAATCTTGTCCAAATTATTAAGTTAGCATTTAAAATTGGCATCGTTACAAATGTTCTGTAATAAAACATATCTTATCGTTGAATTCATGCATTATGACCATTTCAATACACCATAATTGCGGGATGAATTCAAAATCAAATGTGTTGGTCATTCTAAATCTTATTTCATTGTTGCAAAGAACGAATGATTATAAATGAAATATGTCGTGTCTTCTCTGTAAGCTACGTACATGTAGTCTATCCTTCATCTCTCGAAATTTTCCACGTTTTTAAACGTTTCTAGATTATTATATTCTTTGATCGGTTACGATTTTTTGACATAATTATTGATAAATTCATGTGATTTATCAGAATTATATTTATTATTTAATAGTCAATTATATTTACTATGTCAACCAAAAGATAATCATCTTACTTATATTTGACATCAAAATTAATAGTTTATGTATAAATTACCATGCAAGATTGAAGAATGGATCTTGACTCTCTCTCACTCTAAGACAACTATTTTTCATTTTCTCAGTCGATTTATCCTCCTTTTTATGTTTACAAAACTATTAAATGCGACTCTCTGTCATACCATAAGAGATGAACCACTAAGTACCACTAAGACCACACTTCTCTCATTAAAAATAATTTTAAGGTAAATTACATAAATGATTTGTTAAAGTATGAGTAAGTTTCTCTTTTTCTTACTAAAGTTTCAAAAGTAACTAAATTGTCACTAACGTTATCGAAAAGTTATAAAACGATTATTATGCTTGTAAGCTCCATCATGAGATTAATAGGAGTTTGACTTTACACGTGATGTTGCATTTTTAATGAATTATTTTTTACCAATAAAATAATGACACGTGACGCCGTCTTTGTAACACTTTACACCAATAGGACACACAATCGACCAATAAGAGTGTCAAATGGAATCATCGGAGTGGTTAACCCAAATTTTTTTCTTTAACACGCTCATTTGAAAAACGTACATTTGTAAAATATTTATGATAAAATAAACACTAACATTTATATAAATCAGTTTACAATCGGGAGCTCCCACCAATTTGATTCAAAACATACAGACCATGAATTTAAAATAAGTTACAACTCGATTATACAAAATAAAGATAACAAATATGCATGCCCTATAAAGAACTTGAGACATACTTTGCTCTGTATCTTGTCTGGATCATTGCTGGTCAAAATGCTCTTCTACTGCTCCTCACCTAATTGCGTAAGGAAACCAATTC